AATAAATTTTAATTATTAAAAATAAAAAAATAAAAAATTGAGATTTTATATAATTATAACATGAAAATTTTATATGTAAGAAAATTTTTAATTCATGTATATGTATATATGGAACGGCATCTTAATCACATGAATGAAATTGTGCTTATGCATTCTCCTGTTGTGGTCCATTGGTGACCACTGCAGCTCAACAAAACTGTCGGTGGATTGTACTCCTAATTAGTGGTCGAATCTATTAACTTCTAATTTCTAATTCTTAACTATTGTCCTTGTCCAAAAAAAAAAAAAAAATTGTACTCGTGAACTATGTCTTCTTTTTGGCCAAAACAATGAAAAATGAAAAAGTCTTTCTTCTTCTTCGTCTTTTTAATGCTTATTTTTCATATGAATTCTTAATTTGCGGATTCACACTATTCCCTTGACGGCCAAAAAAAAACAAAAGAAATCACACTATTCCCTTGCAACGAACAAACCATGTATTCCTCAGTATCATCAACCCCAGAACTACCTTGAGAACATCACATCTTTACCGAACATGCTAAACAATAAATTAATTAATTAGTTTGGTTATGTACTAATTAAGTGGTAGACGAAGCATATTTTACTTGTAAATCATATCAAGGTTTTGCCAGTCATCTTTGTCGATCCACATCACTACCTAAAATTTATAAATCAATCACAAATGCACATTAATGTTGGCAAGCAGGTTATTTGTTTCTTTCCGATTGCAAAGGTTACATTGTACAAGCAGCAGAACAAGTATTTCATTAATGAAAAAAGTGCTGAATAGAAAATTAAAAAGTAATATATTAAAAGTTATTGAAATTTTGTTAGATTATAAATTTTTTTTGTCTTTCGTAAGAAGTTAATCTTTCGTAAAAAGTTAATCCTTAAGAAATTAGTTGAAATATGTTAAATAAGTTCCATATTAAGAAAGTCAAGGGGAAATTTTTCCTTTTAAAAAAGTGAAAAATTTACTTATTGAGAATTGTACAAAAAAATAATAATACTAATTTTACTATCTTTTTCTTATAGTATTAAGATATAAAAATAACAAAATAACCCTAAAAAATTCAAATAAAAAAAAATTGGGGAAAAAAACTTTCCCCTGAGCAAACGCGCCTTAAAAAGAATGTCCGCAAGTAAGTTTTTTATTATCAACTCCCGAATACAGAAATACTTATGATTTATTCATCCAATTTTATGCAGCTTCATGTTACCAACTGTTTAGAATAAGCTTTAGCCTTTACGTAGCTAGTCAGACTAACTAGGCTCCAAGTTTACGTTTATAATTCAGTTAAAAGACAAGCAATCTATGTCAAAGTTAAAAGATTTATACCTTTTAATTTACAAAGTGATCCAAGAAATTGGCTGTTATTTTGCTCTATGTTGTTTCCTTTTTGATATAAACCGATAACGTTTCAAGTTTTTTTTTTTTTTTTTATCAGCAAAAATAAATTTATTATATAAAGTACAAGGATACTCCTGCCTATTACAAATACAATAACATTAAGAATGCGGTAACATTTTAAGTTACTTTTACCATGTTGGTAATAATTAAATTAGATGCACGTAAGCTCTATTTTTTTAATCTAAAAACTTAATGTGGCCGATTGATAAATAGTCAACATTGAAATTAACTTGACACGACATAAAACTATCACAATTTGCTCAATAAAAAAATTTTTAATTTTGTCAATAATTTAAGTATTTCAGTGATTATCTTTTTTCATTAAAAATAAAAAATCTTAAATTTGAATCGCATGGCATGTGGATGGGGTGTGAGATTATTATCTCTCATTGTGTAATTAAGATAAATTTTTTTTTAATCCTAAAATTATGTCCATAAATGTATATATGTACGGAAAAAACCGAAAAGCGTTTCTATCCCTTAAAATTTTTTAAACTTATTTTAATTTATTTTTTTAATCAGTGTCTCATATTATCCCTTGAAAATATTTTTTGACTTTTCCGTTGAGAAAAAAAGGACCCAAAACCCTACCCTTAAATTCTAGTCAATGAAACTCAAGATTTTGAGAAATTAACGAGAAAAAGTGTAAAT